GTGTTGTGTTAAAATATATTTTAAAAAATTTACAAAACTAAAACAGCCTACAGTATTTTTACAATCTTTATTTTACAGTTAAAATAAATGTTTATCAAATAAAGTTTAATGTTACAACTAATTGTGGATCCCTTTAACACAAGTTCCCATAGCTAATTAAAATAATCCATGAAACATACAAATTTGAACCTCAATCTTAATAGTTTAATCATATGTATTTTAACATTAATTCATGTAAACATGATGAAATTATATAATACATTTTAACTGCAAGCAGTCTTTTAAACAAACAGCTAATGTACAAATAACTCAAAACAGCAGCTACTCTCCAGCATGAGGGGCTGTTAACCTGCCCTGCTGCAAATACTAAATAAACTACAGAATAACTTTGCTTAAAGTGACATTCAGATGCATAAAATTAAGTAAATAATCCATCCTGTTTCAAGTCTTATCGGACCTGGCAGTCCAAAAGTTAAAAATAAGGCTTAAACACTATTAGAAAACCTGAAAAGATGAGACAAAACTGATTATATAATTCAGTGAATTAATATGAAGCTTTGACTTATTAGCTAAATTTGGCGTAACTGATAGCTCTACTTCCAACAAACTGTTTTCTGATGGTAAACTAACAAAACTTATAGATGGTTGTCTACAGAACGAAATGATCAGTCACTTAAAATAAGATCTGATGCTTCAACCTGATGAACAAACTAACTTTATGAAACTTATTGATCTCCAGAGGACAGCTGTAGCATGTTAGCATGTTGCTGCTGCTGTCCTGCCCTGAAATAACTGAGTCTGCACTTTACTTTCTTTAGTTGATTTTCAGAAAAATGTAGCCAATTGTGGAAACTTTAAGTCTTGTTTTTTTGCTTTTTATGTGATTGCAGTTACAAATGAACACTTACGGGGTAAATAATAAGGTACGTCGACATGAAAATGCTGCGTCAACTTATTTTTATAATCAACATTGTTGATTATGCTAATCGCTGCAGCCCTAATCAGGTTTCCCTAATAATCTAAAAAGATACATACCTTTCCGTTGTAGAGGATGACTGGACAGACGAATCTCCCTCTGCAGCGAGCCAGTTTACTGCGGTTCACCAGGTCCTGCAGCTTACTGATCTGCACCGTGCTCTCAAACCTRCCCACACAAACAGTCACACTTCAGTCCATCACATTAGTACGAGTCATTTCAAACTGAATGGACACTGTGGAATCAGCTGAAACAGCTTTTTCCTTTGACCAAACTCTTCTTACACTCAGTAATGCATTTAGAGTTACAAATCAGGACTATTTCTATCAAAATCCCACAGATTACTGCATCTCTGAGCTGCTGACATCAACCTGAGCCGAGCAGCTGTTTCTTTAATGATATTAAACTTTTAAACATCAGTGGTTAAATTAGACTCTAATAACTTGTAAAAGTCTAGACTTTTACAAATTTTACATCTCTCGATTTTTACAACTCTCAACTTTTACAACTTACTCTTGACTTTTACAACTCTCGACTTTTACAACTTTTACAACTCTCGACTTTTACACCTTTTACAACTCTCGACTTTTACACCTTTTACAACTTTTACAACTCTCGACTTTTACACCTTTTACAACTCTCGACTTTTACACCTTTTACAACTTTTACAACTCTCGACTTTTACAGCTTTTACAACTCTCGACTTTTACAACTTTTACAACTCTCGACTTTTACAACTTTTACAATTCTCGACTTTTACAACTTTTACAATTCTCGACTTTTACAACTTTTACAACTCTCAACTTTTACATGCTCATCCTTTTACAACTCTCGACTTTTACTACTTTTACAAATCTCGACTTTTAGAACTTTTACAACTCTCGACTTTTACAACTCTCAACTTTAACAACTCTCAACTTTTACAACGCTCATCTTTTACAACGTTCATCTTTTACAACTCTAGACTTTTACAACTTTTACAACTCTCGACTTTTACAACTTTTACAACTCTCGACTTTTACAACTTTTACAACTCTCGACTTTTACAACTTTTACAAATCTCGAC